AAGGAGACCTTGGATAGAAGCACAAACAATCAAAGACAGATTGAGATAATGAAGCAATCACTGGCCTGTAACATCTTTCAGATATGAAATAAAGAGTATCAAACAAGATGGGCTCTTGTAAAATCAATCTCTACCTAATTTTTCAATCAAGTCTTCATTACAGTGGTTATGACTTACAGTATCCCATATCTTTGTCTCTGGTACACTTTCAGCATAGGTAGCTCACAGGAGATATGAGCATAAACCTCACAGCCTTCTCGAGAATCAAGAAAACAACGTGCTAGGTCCTTCAACCCCATCTCGCTTTGGAAGGTCGAGTTTAATGCAACAACTTCTGGAGCCTCGCTTGATCCCAATATAAATGAACTTCACTCTGTGGTGTCTAGGATGTTTCTGAAACCTTCCTGAAGCTGGGCAACTTCTTAACTGTGATGAAAGACCACTTCTGGTGGGGTTTCTCCCATGCCAATCAAGGCAAATTAATCCCTGATAATGAATCAACAAAAGTAAAGACCTGATACTCTGAATGGTACTCATTATCAGTCCTTGAATTGTAGATGGTGATATGGCCTTTATCTGAAGGTGTCAATCGTCCAAAAGACAAATAGAAGATCCCCCAAGCTGTAGTTTCCTGGTCAAAGGCTACGCTATAAACCTTTGTGAAGGTAGAGTAGATCCAGATTAAATCTGATTCTTAGGAAAAAGGGCCTTTATGTTTGAATGTAAACACTTTGATGACGTAAAGACAGTGTAGGTTGTGGGGAGTAATCAAGGAATTGAACCTCTTTCATGGAATTCTGAGCGCAGGAATGGCAGAAGGGAAAATAATTGTCAACAAAAACAGGTTTGTGGTAATCAACCTAATTTAGATAATCACACTTTAAACTACTGGTTATTTGAATATTTCTGAACTGTTGATTGGTGGTTTGTTTTGGTTCAAGTATGTAAAGATACATAGTTGTATGACTTATCAAGGATGAATTCTCAGATGTTTCATAACCACAGTATGTATACTGATATTGTTAAAGAACCTGAAGGGTGCTAACTCTTTGTAAAAGCTATGGCATGTTCTGTGCTAGAAGGGTGTTAACTCATATACTCTTACACAGTAAATGCCCTTCTAGCATCAACAGATCTTTAATAGCGTTAACAGATGATATGGCCTCCCAACAGCTTTCTGGCTCTCAGCATATGATATTCTTGTACCCTTCTGACTAACAAATAGTTCTGTAGCATACACAAATTTCCGCACCCTCTGCTTTCCCACATCTGTTGCCAATTGTTCAAATAGGAAGTGCCAAAAAGCAATCAAAGGAAAGAAAGTATACAAACTACTGGCATATTGATTATTTTTCATATCCGGTTGGTCGGTATGCCTTTATTCCTAACAATATTCAACCATTGACATGAAAAAAACATGGAAGCCCGAGTTAAATTTACAATAGGCAAGAGAAGGAGATTATTAATATGAACCAGAGAAACAATTTAGGAACAGATAACAGAGGACTATCGGAGAAATATATACATGTACAGTGGCGGAAAGCCATTTATTTAAAAGAGGGCTCTTGATCCCCTTAAACAATAAACAATAAATACAACTTTAAAAATATAAATCCAGAGAAATTGTTTATCTATTTCTTAAGAAAATTAGAACATGAAGCTTCTGAGCAAAGAAAAGATATTTTCACGTTTACCAATTACCAATGATTTTTGTCATTTCATATACCTTGATGATAATTGAGTACTTGAGTAGAATGAAAAAACAATAAAAAAGGCCATAAAAACTAAATCAACTACATTGAATGACAGACAGGAAATACAAGAATAACAAGATGATCTAGGAATGACAAAATGCTTAGATAAAGCACATCTTATCAAACTGAGCAGCATATATAATACCACGAGGTTGATGCATGCATAATGATATGTCACTATGGATATGGGATCGTCTCCTTTCATCAAACATTCCTCCATGAAGGGTACATCACCATAGCGATAATAAGCTTGGCTTATGGCTGTGGTAAGCTTTGCTGCATTCTTTATGAATTGTTTTCCATAAGTTTCATTGGGTGTAGATTACAGTGTCTACGATCACTGGGCTTTTTAATACTGCAAAGCCTACAGGAAGTCTTACATTACATCATTTACAGAATATTTCAAGGTGATTCAATGTCTACCTATAACGCATTGGGGTGGGAGAGTAGACATAGGCATATTTCAATTATATATAAATCTACATGTCTCATTTACTCATTCATTTGTTTATTTATGTACTTTATTTATTCATTTATTCTTTCATATTTTTCTACCTACCTCATTTAGTATTTGGGGGGATGTAGTTATATATAAAAAACAATGGTCTCCCACGAAAATGAAAATGAAACTCAAATCAAAATCAATCATGGCAGAGTAGGCCTGTCTAATTGACTTTGAAACTATTTTTTTTACCCAACACATTTTACAAAACAAAAAGTTGATCCTGCCTCAAACTTTAAACTGATTTTGGGTCAGCCAGCAACATTCAAGACAACAGGAATGTGACTAAACCTCAATCTAATAAGAAAAATGTGCCCCAAACCCCTAAATGATTACATACCACCCTAATCCATCTATGTTAATCATATTTACAACTTTACCAATTACTCGCTGAAAAATGCCAGGAATGTCCAACAAAGAAGTACCAAGGCTGTGGGGGTTGGTTGCAAACTGCGAAGAATTCACAAATTCCATATTCCTATTATAAAATGCTTTTTATATATTTTGCAAGCCAGGTAAACATCTGTTTCCTGTTTATTTTTAGGTCATTTGGGGACACTAGCACAAGTAGGTGGTGTGTTTACGTCTGGCAGTTTAATTGAATTACAGACTTCACACAATTGAGTTCCGCAATCCCCTGTAAGAAATTAAAGTTTACATCAAATGGGGAATTTATTAACCGACAAAAGATTTATTTGTCTTTTATTTTAGGCCAACTCGATCTAGAAACAAAAAACAGATTTACAAAAAATGTAATTTTGATTACCTGCTGCAGCTTTACATACACACAATCTGCAAATTACATTCAAACATCAACTCCTGAATCTTGAACTATCTACGACACCAGCTGACCTCTGTGTCAATTGAACGACAGTAGTACTAATTCGAGGGCGTTACAATCAATTTGGTAAGATCGTTACCTGTCGTTTTGACTCGCTCTACCTCAAAAGTGACGAAATGATGAGAATTGCAGACAGAGGAATGATCTTTGATGGGATCCTAGAAGGCTAAGAGTTCAATGCTGCCATCTTGTGTATTTACTAGGCCATTTAAAAAGAATAGAAAGGCAGAACTTCTACCAAAACTGTTGAACAGTTTACTTCACTGATTTAAAAAGGTGTATTCTGACACACTGATATTTCATACATACCAAAGAGTCTTTTTAAACCATATCTGGCGATTTCAGCATCTAAACTAGAATAATTTACGGCTCATAGTTACACATTTATGACAGGTAGAATACATACAAAGAAACTACTCTTAGTCAAATTCAAGTGTTAATTTATTAAGTGAAACTATATCTTTAGGATGAGAGCCGAATGAAATGATCATGAACTCATGATGGAAGCAACAATCACACAACTATGGCAAGATAATATCTCTGTCATGTCTTGCCTAGCTAACTCCATTAAAAAATTCAAAGAGTTGTCAGTTGTCCATATAAGCCAGTCACTAACTGATCGCCATGCAGTGTTGCATTGTACCAGGCATTATTATACTCTTAAGAGCACTCAGTTCGCACCAACGTCAGTAAAAAGCAAATATCATTGCATAACACTATTAGCACCCCACCTCAAGTGACTTGTAGTTTTCATAAATTTTTCATCAAAGACATTTCTTATTAGGAGCATACTGCACACAGGTAGTAGAAGAATCTACCAATACATATATTTACGGGGGCAAAAAACCTTTTGTTGTAAATGAATGCAATTTCCGTGCAATAATACTTTGGTCATAGATCATAAATTTTGATTACTATGTTATGTGGGAATTTCAGGAAAAAATCATTATGGCAAAATAACTACCGTAGTGAACAAATGAAGAAGTAAAAAAAAATTGATTTCTGGAGTTTTTGTCCGTAATTATTGAAAATTAGAAAGGGCAGGTTTCCCACACATACTAATAATCTTAGCAGTCTTTTGAGGTTATTCTAATGTAGTTACTGGTACAGGTCTTTACGCATGGTTTTCATAATTCCAATTATTCCCCATTTTATAAATGAATAAGGAATAGGCTAGTGGATAATCTATAATGAATTATCAAACAGTATGACTTCAACGTTGTACCTCCCATATAAAATCTATACATAGAGTCGTAGAAGCAGTATTGGCAATGACATGGCCTGCACTTCAATTAATTAAATGCTGCATATAATTGGCAGGGTTGGTTTGGAAGCTTCAAGCTCAATCAAAACTGAAGGGCATGAATTGGGCTCCTAATGGAATTCAACAGGTCTGCTTAATATTGCATAAATTGCTACTCTGCATAATGGACTATTGTCTAGCATGCGTATGTGCTTTGTATACAGCTTCAATGGATTTGAGCAAATGAAGGGGTTGTTGAAAGTGGATGGGAGACTGGGGAGACTGGAGAGACAGGGGAAAGATAGAAAGTGAGAGATAGATAGAAAGAGATATAAATACTAAAATAGTGAAAGAATGATAGATTAAGGGAGACAAAAATAGAAAGGAAAGACAGAACAAGAGAGACAGACAAGGAAAGGGGGTGAGGGATAGAGAGGGATAGAGAGCGAGAAAGAATGAGGTAGAGAGCAAGAAAAAAAATGAAGTGAGACAAATTTAGCTGAAATAATTTAGAAAATAAAAAAGATCAGTGATATCAAACATGTGCATGGATTTAGCGAATATTTACAGATGACAATTATGATAATGAACAGTCTTCATCATTATCCAACATCTATCTTATCACCTACACACATCTACATACGACTCCCCAGTATTTACCTGTATCGCTGCCGGTGGTCATGTGTAGTGGTAATACAAAGTTCCTATAAATCCATATACGGCTTCAAGGCATGCATCCCCCATAAATCAACCTCATCACAGGCAGACAAATTATCATTCCAATCCAGTGAGTGACACGGAGCAAAAATCTTCAAGTGAATCATAAATCCAGTCGGTTTATTTCTCTATTCTCTCGATCCTCAGCGCCACCACAAAAATATATATCCACCTTCAGCAACGGTTGATGACTAAATGCGAGTGCAGTGAGTATTGAAGAAAAGGTGGGTTTTCTTTGTGTAAGGAGCTATTGGATTCAAGTGAGTGAGTACACACAGTGAGGCAGTGATGATGAATAACATAGAGCGAGCGTAGCTGCTGAGCTGACAAGGGTTCTCCATGAGCCAGCACTGTAACAATTACACCACCTTCTCCTCCAGTGGCCGGGGATTGAATGGCTTGACTGAGCGAGCAAGCCTCCCTGTCTGCTGAGCATGGGCAGTGGGCTCGATCCACTCACTTGGGGGGAGGAACGTAGGGAGACAACATGCCTGGCGATTCCTTACATAGTTTTTCACAGCATCTGTCGCACTCACAGAGCCGCTTTCATGCTTCGCTAACCAAACAAAATGGCTGCTCTAGTCACTTGTGTCAACCTGCCTTGGTACGCAGGGTTAGAGCATCAAGTACATGAATAGACTCTTGAAAAAAAATAACACTTTACAGTTTTTGTCATCTCTGTGTAAGGAATACCCATAACTGCTCAGTCCCATATACAGACAAGTTTGAATTATTAAAAAGGTGTGCACACATACCTCTTTCAACATACACTATCGATGCTTATCTTACGAGCTAGGAAAATCCATAACTATTTAATCTTCTTCATGGTCCAGAGCCTATCTTTCTTTTTGCATCAAGATTACAAAAGGCAAAGCCCCCCTGGATACAAATTCCATTTCTTGACTAACAATGGAGAAACATTCGGTCTGACTAGTCTTGAAGAGGGGAAAGACGGGAATGTTCATGTATTGATATGCAAATCTGACTGCTGGAGATCGAGCTTCAAGCCGGCTAGCGATCAATACGCACATCTGTGTGTGGGGACAGACTTTTCTCTTTCCAATGCAACGCACAATTGTGGCCGCTGCCTGATAGTATCGACCCCTGTCCGCCCGACAAAGGGGGCGATGTTTGGTCTGACCATAACACAGACTGACTTTCTTCTGTTCTTTTGTACGAGGGAAGGGGGTGGACAGGAGTGACATGAGAATTGTTTTGCAATACGGAGATCGAATCGCTTTTATCTTTCCAGGCATTCTACCCCCTAAACAGATGACAGTTTTCTCATCAAAACCCTCTGAATCGACTTTTGACATCAGTCTTTTCAATATAATCCCACAAGTAAAAGACATATCAATATCGGTCCATTAATGGCATTATGTTTGACATTCTACGGGTATAAAGTTTACAGTGTTTACATTCTTACATTCATTCTTGTTCTAAAATAAGGAAATATTAAACCTCAAAACAAACGGAATCTTGAACATTCACAAAGGCAAGGTGGGGGCTATCCCTTGCAACGAGATTTGCATTGTGTTTTAGATGCATTCAACTGATATCAGACTTGTTGGGTTTGCTCAATGCAGGAGGTCCACTGAATGTAAGCGGAACGCTTGAATAAAGGCATGCATACATGCATGTCTACAAAACCATGAATCATGTCGGCATTTCATTACAAAAGCTCAATAATAACATTACTGATGCTGTGATCAATTTGAAAGAAGAGAATATATCTCCCACAAGGCAATTCTGAACTAATTTTAATCACCTTTTTGGCAGCTACTTGTAAAAAAGTGAATAGTACATTCAAAAGTTTTTTTTAAACGCAAATGTTTTTTGAGGGGGAGGATAAGGGTGTGCCTAACACATACAAAACGTAATTCTACCATCAACATGGGCTTAATCATTCACACCTGCAGAGCAATACAGAATTATGGTTCCAAATCAAAATAATATTCCTTCTCCCCTCCCCCTCATTATTCTGGTGGTACCTACAAAGAATCTTTATACTCAGTAATACAAACTTGTAATAGGGTCTGTTAGGGGGTGGGGGGGGGGGGGGGTTACCTTTTATTGTGAGCTGTAAGATACACATTAAGAAGTCCCCCCCCCCCAAAAAAAAAAAAAAAAAACGGGGGGGGGGGGGGGGGGGGGAGAGAAAAAAAGCTGGATATCTACTTTTCCAACCAGAATACCAGATGTAGTACAATTAACTAACCCTTATACAGAAAAATTAGGATTCCCCCCCCCCTTTTTTTTTAATGTGGGGGGGGGGGGGGGTTGCTCTCTTTAAAGATTTGGGGGCCAAGTGCCTTATTAGTCCCAATCTATATTTTCATTGAAATATTGAGACCTACCTTACTTAGGATCCTCCTTTTCAAATGTTCATTCCTTCCACACCATCCTGCCTATTCTCTTCTATCCCTATTCCCTAGCAATCTTTATTTTGCAGATGTCTCATGTTTGATTTTCCCACATACCTGGCCCAGTGCACAAACAAATAGGAGTCCATGGCTGTTTGGAGTGGGGTCGAAGGTTAAGTGGTTACATTTTTCATCCCCTGAGTCATAAGGGTGATGGAGGAGGGGTGTGTATTTGAGCTTCATGTTCAATGGTGGAGCATGGGGGCCAGATATTAAGGGGCACCAGCATCATGAGGGGGGGGGGGGGGGGGGTAGGGCGTGTTGGTATTGCTTGAAATGACATGCACATAAAGAAGTGAAGAAGATTTTTTTTTGGGGGGGGGGGGGGGGTGGGAGCATCTTATTTCTATGTTGCCATTCCACTCCTCACCTCTTCCGTTTTCCTTATTCCCGTCCCTTTTCCTTTACTTCGCTTTTTGATAGGAAGCACATGCACCCCCCCCCCCCCCCCCCAGTAGCTATGCCAATGTATGTTGGTGTATGTCTTTCAGGGCGGCAACTCCTCCACAAATTTGCCAAATACTCTAGTCCAAGGCAATCAGAGTCCCCAGATATTAAATGTAAAGCCCAATCATGAGAATCATATGTAATGAGGGACGTTGATTGATGAGAGTTCCCAGACGAGTGACTAATATTATCCTTCACATGAAGGAAAGCATTTCACCAACAAAACAAAAAAATCTAAAGGAGGGGGGGGGGGGGGACACACCCTTCATGATATGATTTTTCTCAAGGGGCTCATATTTTCAATGACATAAAGATGGGCTCTTGGAAGTAAAATTCAGGAGCAAATTGGGAGCTATAGTACTCAGTAGCTCTAGAGTTAAAGTTGTTCCAAGCCTCTGCACATGAGCCGACATCCATTGAGCCCCTTTTAACATGACAGGGGGCCTCCTGTGAACTGATATCCCCTGCAAAAGTTTACTTAAACTACATGCCAGCATGTATCAAGTATGTTATTAATACAGATATGCAAACACGATCGACACCTTCAGAAGGCGTGTGATGCTGTTCTAATCTTTCGGGATCCATGTTTTCAGAAGCCATATCGGTTTGCAAATTCCTGCCACTGTCTTCAAGCAAGTAGAATGACGTGGGTAAACCTGTTAATGTTCAATGACGCCATTGTTTAAATAGAAACCGAGATAATAATGTATGATATTTGGGGCATGTTTAAACTTCCCAGTTGTGAGAATCGCAATTCAATTCCTTCTGCAAACACACTAAAGGTAGTAATAAATTTGGGCTAATGATACATTTCTAAGAGTCATAAGGTAGAAATTCCCTCAACAACCAACTTTGCAATAACATACTAATATTTATTACATCTATAAAAAAAACCCTGCTTGGGATTTTAAATCTTCTTTCTTCTTCAGTGTATTTGCTTCACAATAAAATCCCATTTGTAAGACCAAAAGACAAAGAAAATGAGGGAGAGAGAGAGAGAGAGGAAGCGGGAAAAAAAATGGTACTGCAAAATATTATATTGGGGAGAGGAAAAGAAATGATAAAAAGAAAGGAGGCTTCAGATGTAGATATAAATAAGATATAGATGGCACAAGAAAGAGAAGATAAAGAAAAAAAATACAAGAAAGAAAAAGAACCGAGATTGATAGAGAAAGAGAGAGAGAGAGAGAGAGAGAGAGAGAGAGAGAGAGAGAGCCGAGAGCAAACTCCAAAACTGGGTACACACGGCATATCATAGCAATGTTCAATATTGATAGATCATTGTAGACATACTTGTTGAAAGAGGGCTGGCACTTTTGAATGCAAAACAACTTTTATGATTGACAACTCTCATAAATGTCTGATGTAATAGCTTGATGGATCAGCCCAGAGACCTTTCGCTTTGGCAAAGAATCGCTACCCTCCTCGGTATGTTTGCCAATTTTTCCATCTTTTTTCCCTCTTTTTCAGATTTTCTTTGACTGCTTGACATTAAACCCGACTGGAGGCTGTATTCTTTCTATCACATAAAAAAGCAAGCTATGCTCTTACATGAGTTTGCTATTGTGTGCATTTGTTACACTGCGTAAATTATTTGAAAGCTATAAGAAAATAGACCTACTGGTAAAACAAATCAGCCCAATTTATGAAAAGGGCCAAAGAGTAAAACAAAAAAGATTTTTTAAGCGAATACTGTCTCATTCAAAGTTCCAATTTTTTCAGACAAAGAATTGTTTTCCAAAAAAGAGAAACCATTAAGATAAATTCACCTTCTGAGTCTCCACAAAACAAAAGAGCAATTGTCATTCTACTTCAATCATGATACGCCTCTTCGCTAATTAATACGAAGGTTTATATAATAACATATAAACTTTATTGAATAAAGTCTATGGGGCATCCAAGGCCAACATATTTTATAATCATCTGGGTATTATCATAAAGTGCTTGCAAAACTAATAACTTTATGAGAAGCTAAAGTGAAACATGATTTGAAGGTCTTATTTTGACACCCTCCAACGATCAATACAATACCAATGTTAGCAAAGCACCACCATAGTTTTTAAAGTTATCAAATCCTTGAAGTTTAAAACAATGACCCACTAAAAACGATGAGGCTTCGCATGGCACTGAAACTGCTCAGAGTTTCAAACTATGATGTGAACCGAACTTATATCATTTGCAGTTGGCACGTTCAAAAGACACGGTCCCTGGGAACCTATATGCCCTTGGGTAAACTCCATAGACACTAAGCAAACAGCCCCCATACTGAGACAAATAAAGTAATTAGTGAAATATTAAATGATGACGGTGATATTCTTCAATGGTAAACACATTCCTTCACACACCGGCAAGATAAAGATTGTAGCAACACGTGACGCTTTTGGAACACTACTGAGCTTTACCACTTTATGCTAACGTAACAGCCATAAAGTCTATTGAATGTAGATATTTTTTAATGTGAAGATTTATGGAAACAATAAACAGGAATTTGAAATGTAGCTGAGTGGGTAAAATCTTTATACAAAAAAGAAACTTAATACACCCATATTTAAAGCATCTGATGGAAGACATGGAATCAGAGATGTGGTCTACTACAAGAACATGAATTGTTTTTAAAGATATTTGTTTGTTATGTAATAGTCACAAATACCGAAAGACCTTTAAAAAATATTTGGAATAAAAAGACCTTTGCAGAATATTCAGAAATAGAGATTGATCTGTAGTGAATATTCAATGATGCCAATATATGTTAGGGACTATTTCAAGATATTTAAACTTTCCTACAATAAAGCAATTCCTTTACAACTTGATCCTAATGCCCTCTGTTAAAATTGAAACTAGTAAATTCAAACTTCTTAGAACATTTTAGAGTTACTCACCTGTATGATCAAATACATAGAAGGTTCCAGCAAAGATGATGAAGAAGAAGAGATAATCATCCACACACAAGGAAGGTTGGGAAGAGAAAGGGAGAGAAATAGAGAAACATCATTAATGATATATTAATTTAGAAGTTTCATAGATATATGTATTAACTTTTGATAGTTCAAAATACTGCTTACTTAAAAAAGAAACAACTATATTCACTTTGATATGAGCTATACAAAATATGGCAGCAGTATTCTTGGGACATGACTGACAATAACCATATAATACCCTTTTATTGAGTCATGTCACATATATTCTGACTTTCAGCATATTGGACAATAAAAATCAAAGGCTTTTCACACATTTTCTTTAAAAAGGACCCACACAAATAATGCAACATTGATATTGATATCAGAGTTTACACAAAATATTTACATAGTGACCTGTTTCAATGGATATTATGATGCTCTGCAAAATAGATCGTGAAATTGCCTCTATGCAGGTGAAAACATTGTGATATGGTGAATATATTTCTTTGTAATGATGACAATTCAAAGGTCGCCTCAAAATGAAAAAGATTTCATTTAAATTGAAAGAATTTTCAGCTCTGAAATATGACACACCTCTCCAATATTCAAAGTGCGTGGGGGAATTGAAAGAGAACAGTGCAAAGAAGGTTAACATGACATATTTGTTGACATCCAGTAAAATAGAATATGATTGATACATCCCAGGCCTTTTACCATGTAATTGTAAAGGTTGATAATCGGTGGCAAAGTATGCCCAGTAATAACTATACTTTTGTGACTGTCAAAATTATTTTTTGTGACTGAATAAAACTGATTCAAGTCGGAATCAGTGGGCAGACGCTGTGTTTTTTTAGTCATTATGTAAGTGGGTGCTCCAGCCGCAGGGCCCTTTACTTTAATATAATTGGAGAGAAAAAAAATTGTGAAAATGTAATCCAACAAAAATGCTGAAATATGACAGTCAATTATTGCAGGTATGCAGTTTTAAAGAAATTTGTTTCTCCTAAAGGAACAATTTGAGGAAAAAGAGAAGATTTGTAAAAGAAACAATTTATTTAGATATATTCCATTTTGTTTTTGTCAAAAAAGGCTAGTCAGAATGTGTCACACCAAAATATAAGGCATATGAACCATTTATTCATTTAAACATTTCTATTTATAAATAAAAGGTGAATTAATCCACTTTAAAGAAATGGGCCTCACCCAAATCCAACAATTTGAGATGTAAAAGTTACAGTCCATCCCAAACTAAAGACTCTACAATGGCTTGCCATGATGTGTAACCAAAAATAAATGAT